ATTTCTTGAAATGGCCGTCCTCTTACTATATTTCAAATCTAGGCATCTTGTGTTTTTTTTTTGGCTCTTCTTGTTTTGTTTTCGCACTCTCGCATTAGATTTAGGGTCTCCCGAGGACGTCATCCATGAAATTACTTGGTGTGGCCTAGTACATAGCAACACACAGAGTGGGACAAAACAGCTTTAGTAAGCTTAGAAAGGTGTTACTGGTTCACTGTGTACTAGCAGGTGCTACCAGTTCATATTGAAACTGGGTGTTACTGGTTTGCTTAAGCTAGGTGTTACTAGTTCACTGTGCACTGAAGCTAGTTGTTATTGTTTCACTGTATACTTGTGCTAGATGCTACTGGTTCACTGTATCTGTATCTGTATCGGTATAGCCGGTATAACCACCCTTCGGCGTAACACACCAGCTTCGCAGGCACGCGGCGCGGCGGCAGCTACCTATATCACACCGAACGGCTTGTTACACTCAGTCTTTGCACATTTGATTGCAGGAGTTGTTTAAAGTTTTCTAGTGATGATGCCCCAACTGTGCTTGGCGGCAACGAGTTTCAGTCTACGAGAGTTCTGGGGAAATACGAGTTTTTGAATACCTCAATTCTAGTGGTTGATAACTCTGATATTTGAAGGCATGACTGTTTCTTGTTCTTTTCTGTGCACTGAAGCTAGGTGTTCCATGCACAACGAAGCTATATAAACTTGTTTGAAAGTCTATTGAAAACACCTACATAAAAAAAAGAGTGGGGCAAAACAGGTGTGCAGCTCTGGCATTCATGCTGCATTTCCGAAACTCACAGACCATTTTATGACTTGCGGTAAGTCTGTAAAAGAATAGGAGGGACTCAAACCTACCGGTGTAACAGGTCGATCAAGACCCTCTGATTATGGGTTCACACGCCAACTCCTAATCCTTGCCATTCACTTCTACGCCTACGTGAATCGTACAAAGCCATGGAATTTCAATAGGTGGTGTGACTGCAGATTTTAGCCATGCTGTGGCGTCATGTGAAAAAAAAGAAGTGAAAGCTTGCTGCCCGATGTGCCATCAGGCACAGGAGGAACTGTCTAAGGTAAGGTATGGTGTCACGTAAGTGGCTTGGGATGTATTCGCCACTATTTTCTCTTCGGTTTCACTCTCCGGTACCCATAGCTCTACCCGGTATCCGTAGTCCTACCCGGTACCCGTAGTCCTGCCCGGTACCCGTAGTCTTATCCGGTACCCATATCCCTACCCGGTACCCGTAGTCATCCGGTACCCATATCCCTATCCGGTACCCATAGCCCAATCAAGTATCCGTAACCCTATCCGGTACCCGCAGCCCTATCCGGTATCCATAGCCCAATCAAGTATCCGTAACCCTATCCGGTACCCGCAGCCCTATCCGGTATCCGTAGTCAAATCAAGTATCCGTAACCCTATCCGGTATCCGCAGCCCTATCCGGTACCCATATCCCTATCCGGTATCCGTAGCCCAATCAAGTATCCGTAACCCTATCCGGTACCCGCAGCCCTATCCGGTATCCGTAGCCCTATCCGGTAGAGACATGGATAGAGACAACGGATTGACATCAGGTAGCAGAGAGAGGTGACAGTGTCCTCTCTGATGACCTATACAACTTAACGTGACTGCAGAAGTGCAGGGTACGTCACTGTTTGGTGGATGTGAGGCCGGGCACACAGGTAACTGGTAGAGAAACGGTGAAAATCTCAACACGACCACAGAATTCCACAGCGTTTTCTTCTAATTTTGCTGTGCATTTGCCGCAAACATGTCCGTGTATACGAATTTCGAAATGGCTATAAATGAATGAACACAAACAAGAGCACCCACCCATAACAAATTGGGCAAAGGGACAAACATATCGCCGCACACACGTAAGATCACGCAACAGGCGTGCCCTAAAGGTACAGTGTCGACAATCTGCCCCAAGCCTAGTGCAATCTGTGAGGTACACGCTGACGGAGAGTCAGACTAGTATCGGGCCGTCAGCCGGTTTCCTTCGGTAGCCAAAAGCACTACGCCCGCCAATCTACCTTGTAAATTGCCGCTAGCTACGAGGGGAGTTGGGTATTAAACCAAGCAAGAAAGCAATTCCAAGTAAGCAACGACAGACCAACCAACAATTTTGAAGACTTTGGGCGACAAGTGTGCCCATGTCTGGACGGAAGGACGTCTCCATACGCAGCCTGGTGTCCAGTCGATCGTGGTTGGGGCGAGTTCTCTTCGGGGCTGCAGGAGCTCTTCTCCTCCCGACTCAGCTAGGTTCCCCCGGTAGTATTTTCACGACGGGAGATAGATAGTGGTCACAGTAGTAATACTATAGTGGTGGAGCTAATCCATCTCCCGTCGTGAAAAACCTACCGGGGGAACCTAGCTGAGTCGGGCGGGGAAGAGCTCCTGCAGCCCCGAAGAGAACCCACACCAACCACCATCGACTGGACACCAGGCTAGCTACCCCATACGCAAAGATGTCAGTAATGTCAAGGAACCAAAGCCGTTGTACAGGTCATTGGGGTGCTTTGTGACGTACGGGGTGACCTGAGGATGGCATTGAAAATCCTCACCTGCACTCTAGTGGACAAAGGGAATTATAATAGTGGTAACGCTGGCCTTGTGAACAGCTAGAGACATATATACTGCATTGTGTGCTGAGATTTGTGTAGTTAGATCTCGAACACTGGGACTGCATGGCGAAGGGTGTCGACGATGCAATTTTAGGCCGGCAAAACGATAAACAATATATTGAAAGAAGGAAATCTCTCTAATATTGACATTTACTGCAATTTCTTGGCACATTTTTTTGAACATCCATGTTGGCACCCTGAAATTACATTGGATTCGGAATTTGGATTGCTATTTAACGAATGGTGATGCTTTCGTCTAACGAAACAGTGTAATTTCGAAATTCAAAGTCAAGAAAATCTAACCATACGACGCAAATATTGCAGGTAGAGCTTAGTGCAATTAACATAAAAGTGTAGTTTGACTCTGAGATTGTGAACACTTTTTAGCGCAAATATTGCAGGTAGAACCTAGTGCAACATAAAAGTGTAGTTTGACATTGTGAACACTTTTTAGCGCAAATATTATTGCAGGTAGAACCTAGTGCAACATAAAAGTGTAGTTTGACATTGTGAACACATTTTAGCGCAAATATTGCATGTAGAACCTAGTGCAACATAAAAGTGTAGTTTGAGATTGTGAACACTTTTAGCGCAAATATTGCAGGTAGAACTCAGTGCAACATAAAAGTGTAGTTTGAGATTGTGAACACTTTTAGCGCAAATATTGCAGGTAGAACTAAGTGCAACATAAAAGTATCGTTTGAGATTGTGAACACTTTTTAGCGCAAATATTGCAGGTAGAACTAAGTGCAACATAAAAGTATCGTTTGAGATTGTGAACACTTTTTAGCGGAACTTCACCGAATCTGGGTCACAAGAACGGCACCAACTAAACTTTCAGATCCTGACGTCATCCTATACGCACGGTGTGTAAAATTCATCACCCTAATCTCGCTGGAAATTAATTTCGGATTATCTCAGGTCGTTCATCTTTCCCGTTATCACATCTCCATCCCCCATCTCCCCACCGTTTAATAATCCAGGCCCTATCTCTTGGGGGATAGTCGCACATACACGTTAGTATTCTGCCAAACGAAATTAATTTTGTAAGCCCACACTGATTTAATTTCATGGATGACATCCTCTGAAGACCCCAGAAACTAGTGCGCGCGGGCGAATAAAAAAATGCAGCCAAAAAATGGTACTAAACCATAGGAATACAAAGCTGGTATTGTGACTTTGTGGCAGTACATGGCGACGTTTACGACAAGCTGGCACATGCTGGCCTTTTGTGGCATTTATGAGTCGGTACTGAGTACTGAGTTCTTGAGTTCGGTGGAGCTTCAGCAGCCTGGGTGCCATCCTCCGTAGTTACCACCGGCTCCCTATTGTCGCTAGCTATATCATGGACTATGGAGGATGGCACCCAGGCCAGATAGAGCCTCCTCGGTCTTTTTTTTAGAACAGGCAAAAAATCAATGTGCGTGAATGTCATCCATAAAATGAAACCAGTGTAGCCTAATATGAAGAAAGCACTATATAAAAGTGGTGGGTCGATAGTTTCTTTATCCAGACTCTCTGTGTTCTATAGTTTTGTCATTTTCCTTTTGAGATCTAAAACAGTTAACTTTTTTCTTTGCCAAGATCACTACGACCAGGAAATTCTTACGATAATCTTGTCAATTTTGTTTTGTTCTACGGTTTCTGAGATCTTTTTGTCTTCTATATTTCTTCACAGGTCTTCATACATTGTACATGTATGGACTATCTTCCTAGTTCCTGTATTTGTATCTTCGTACTGTTTAGATCCACCTATAGCTAGGCACACTAAAGATTGATATATTCGACCTCTGCCCTTGGTTATGTTATCATGTTGTCTAGCTGTAATTACAAGTCTTTTGTTTTGGACTATGTAGTATATGTGAGGGACAATGGTTATGTTGTAATTTTATCGTTCGGAAATAATTCCATGAATTGAAACCTGCTCAATTTTACTGCGTACACATTCCTGACAAACGATATTGCAATTTTGCCGCATTTCGGATATCATTCATAATGACTGCAATATTTATTTATTTATTTATTTATATTTATTTCATCATAAGACGACTGGGATACCTTATGTCGATTGAAATAATAAACTAATTAAATTTTGTTTCGTCTGCGGATTAATTTTTGACACCACCCCTTAATAACTTCGTCAGTCCCGAAACCGGCCGAACGAGTTAGGCCCGGGGCAAAGTGTGACGACAGTGTCGGAATGAGTGCAGGAACCTTCTAAACATTCTAAGACTGTGCTGGATTTCTTATTTACAAACTTAATTCCCTACTTTTGTCTTTCCAAAAGTCATCTAAGCCATCTAAAGGATAAGATACAACTAGGCTTTCAGTACGAAACTTATAGCCTTTTTCTCTGATGTTACCTGAAGAATACACGTACATGTAGTTGGCCTCGGCTTGTTGTTTTTGCACACAGCCCCGAGGTACTTTGCACACGGGTCGAGCTAATAGTCTGGCAAAAAGGTCGAAATAAACGAGTTTTTGCACACTTGTTGATTCACAGTTGATTACGAGAGTGTCCCTGTCACAAGGTGACTGTTCTCTAGACTATAAGTCTTTGGTTGGTCCAAGAAATACGTGGTAGAAATCTGGTCTGTTCCAGCACTATGCACGGTGTCCACAGCGAGTAAGCAACCATTACATGGTTTGTATTAATGGGAATAATCCGTTCTACTGGGACCACCTTTACAAATGGATGAGAAGGTCTTCCTCGCTCCGCCCACCAAGGTGTGTCTGCTGTGCTCTTCGGTCCAACCCTTGACCCAGTCCGAGGACGACTCCGATAGGGGCTCCGGTACGGTCCTGTACTTCACCAAGAAGGGGCAAGTCACGCGCAGGAGAGTGTGCCTGTACTGCCGGGGTTGTCAGGCCAGGTACAACTACACGGACTACGGGAGCGATGAACGCGGGTACCGACTGTACGCCACGCCGAGGGACGCTGCCGGGCTGCTCGGTGCCTGTGCCGTGGAGAGAACGCTCATCAACCCGCTGCTCTTCGACGACCGGTAAGGCAACTTTTTCCCGTCTTTCAGTTTTTTCCCCAAACACTACAGTGCGCGTTTTGAATTCTTATCTGCTTCATCTTCAAGCGCAAGGACTATGTAGTATTTCATGGGTTTGACAAATGAAAGCCAATAACATTGTTTAAGTGCGAGTCATTGGGTCATAGGCACTCGTTGAACAACTTCGAATTCCATTCTGAAGGTCAAATGGTGACAATAGTGATGTTTACTTAACTTAATACCTTAATTCACGACCAAAGTGGACAGAAATCTTGAAGAAAAAACTCAGCCAGAGCAGCACATGTACCGTCCACAACATGCTACAGGCTATATATAGCAATTGTATAAGAATAAAGTTAGAAAACAGACGTTTTATAACATGAAGTTGGCTGGTACTAACCGCTAAAATACGTACCTATGAGTCAGAAATTATATTACGGGAACTGTTCAATTCGCAGTACACACAGTCCGTACAGTACTATTTTTGGATCTTTTAGAATCACTTTTCAAGATTATCCGCCATCAATAGAAAAATGAAATTCCATAACGTTTCATACAATTCCGTTTTAAAACAAATAGACAAACAGATGAACACGCTGGAAATTACGTAACCTATGGCGAAGTTAAAAGCCTCGAAGCTATATATGATATAGCGACTGTAACAGCGAGGCCATATTGGGGACAAGTGACGTTTACAGGCGCACCCACCGGTTGGTACAGGTAGCATTAAAGAAATGCAATGCGATTTTAGCGCAGCTAAAATGGAAATATTCTGAAAAAGGCAATCTTTGTGATAATGGCACATACTGCTTCACATTAGCACTTTTGAGTCAGCATTTCAGACTTTGGGTATTTAAAACTGCAGAAACAAGCCACAAGATGAGTCTTTTTATTTTCTGGGTGGTACCCTAAAAAATCAGGCCAGGGCCCTTCCAGTAACCATTTTCCGTCAGAATTTTGGGAATTTTTGGTCCATGAGGGTCAATATACGTTGGGATAGTATTGTTTCAACTCAGTAGATACATGACTAGGATATTGGCTTTGAAAAATCGGGTTTCCAAGCCCTAAAAATTGCATTGGATGCCTTTTAAAAATATTTTCCCGAAAACTTTTGCATATAATGTTGCCCTCCTATCTCTGGCTATCCCACAAGTTTACCACAAGTTCAGTCTATTAGTTTCTGTTTTCTGCACTGAAGAAGCAACGTTTATAGCCTGATTAAATTGCTTTTGCCGGCCGCCCAACATCCAGCCGCCCCCCTTGGGTGGCGGACTATGTAGGGAGCCCCCCGGAGCTTGGGTTACATAGGCTACAACGTTTACACCCCCAAAAAATCACAATGTTTGCGAAGTCACAGAGATCGAAGGTTATTCTTTCTTTCTTCCTTGACCGGTCAACTCACAGTAGGATAACGTTAAATCAAGCCTGAGGTCATATCTTTAGAAACCAGAACAAGGTCGCCGTGGGGTCGTAGCGGCAGAGTGCTCAACTCGGAACCAAGAGGTACCGAGTTCGAGTCCTGACATGCCACCGATCTTGTGCCCTTGTGAAAGGCCCTTTACATGACTTTCCTCACTTTGCTCGGGTGAAAATTAGTATGATATTGTCCCCTGTGTTGGTGGCGGCATTAATATGAGTTGAAAATAACTTGAGTGTGCCGTCACCACGTCTTGTAACTACATGTTGTGGAATATAAAAAAGGACGCTTTTCTGTGCTATGTATCCGTCGGAATTTTCGACGCCAAATGTACTAAAATACAATAAAATAACAGTTGCACACGCCGAACTTTCGGACGAAATTGTTCAATCAAGTCAAATACTAGTATATGCTGAATCGAATACTGTGTCTCAAAAGACTAGGACACATAACACAAATGTACAAATGCATTCCGCATGCAGTCGACAAATTAGACTAAAAAAGGCAGACTTTGGCCAATTTCTTGTGCATATGTACGTATGTGGCAAATAGAAGAGCATACATAATATGCATATTTCCAAGAATACGGTCCACATTCTTTGCGACACGTGCGCCCAGTCTCTTTTTCCGTGTTTCTTGGCCAATTTGAGTGAAATTGTCTAGTTGGTTGCAAAATCCCCTGTCCAATTTTACTTCCATCGATTTTACAAGTCTTAACAGATGGTTTAATGAAGGAAGCATGTTATGTTTTATTGACTAATGATGCTTACATAAGTCATGGAGTTCGACACTTTTCACTTGAATTATAAATGGCAAAATTATTCTTTATATAACAACGCTCGAAATGAGTTGACTATTAAAAGTTCTAGAATTTATCCCAATTTCTCTGAACTTACAAAGAAAAAACTATTCTTCTTTTAACTTCCCAAAACCCACAAATTTTGGAGAAGGTGGGACATTACGTCTTCCATAGTTTACAGAAGAGAAGTCAAACCCTTCAGACATAGTTTTAGACGTAGTTATAGTTCTAGACAGCTACCTTCATCCTGTAGACTTTAGTTATTTTATACTCTGTTTCAATGTTCTTTTATGTTTTATTATTTGTAATTAGCCTCCGGGAATTCCTTGCTTATTTTTTTTTGGGTTTGACTAAAATATATTTATATCCTGGTGATATTGTAGCTTTGTGTCCTTTTTGGTACAAAATGTACAATAGTTTGTCTAGAACACCGGTACCCCCCTCCCCACACTCAAGAGACGGCAGACAAACGCAATAATTAGGACGCCCACACATCAACGCCCAGTGTGCGAGCTTGTTCACAGAGCAACAGTAAATAATCAGGACACTTATCTAACCTGTAATTATATATGTACATACGGCAAAGCGTCCATTATATAAGGTGTAACAGTTATCTTACAAGTGGAAGGTGTGCAAGTTATTACAGTCAGATTCTGAACTTATCTTGTCTTGTCTTGTTTTGTTACCTCCGGGGAAGGAGATATCCTTCCGCGAGGAGGTTTTACTATGGTTCGAAACATTTCTGTCAGCAGCTGTTTCTCGCGATCGGCTGGACGGATTTGTCTGTGGTTCGGTATACGTATTGCTATTGGGCTGCAGATGATGCAGAACGTTTTTGTTTAATTGCATATGTGTTTATGGGCGTCGAAATAAAAGGTTTTTAAGTGCTCCGGACACCCCCGCCATGCTGAAAATGGTAATTACCATGTTGTTAAGGAATGGGGCGGTTGCAGTTTTGGGTCTTAGCATTCAAAAGGGGTCAAACAGAGGGGTGTCTGGTTCCGATAAAAATTTTGGGTGACGGCGCAGCAATGACGGCGCGGGATGACGGCGGGGGTAATGGCGCGGGTAACGGTGCAGGCTGTCAGACACGTTAATCAACAGTCCATACCGAACCAACCGTCAGTAGCCATCAAACACATACAAACATATTACGCACATAACTTTCATACTACACACAAACAAATAACCTAAACTAATAGAACACAAAAAAACCCGGAGGTTTGAAATCTACGATTTCCCTTGTTTTGTTTTGTTTACGTCCGCGCGCGCATTGATTTTGGCCTGTTCGAAGAAAAAAAATCCGCTTCTTGTAACTATGACCAAAGAGTCACGACAGTGGGACAAGGGAAGATGTGATGAAAGGAAAGAAACAGGACAAGACGACAACTGCTGTTCCACTGATTTATTGCTGTTTTCATGACGAATAATAGACTTGTTAGTTGTTACACTGGGTTCTCTCATTCAATTTGTGTACTAACATTTGTCGTCCCTTGGTATATTTCAAATTTATGCATCTTGCTTTTTTCGGCCCTTCTTTTTTTCTTCGCGCTTTCGCGTTAGATGTAGGATCTCCCTAGGACGTCATCCATACTGTGTGGCCTTATAGTGAAAATAAACTATAGTTTGCCTTGAGGGTGGATCGTGACCTCACGATGGAGTGATAGAATTAACATAGATACAAAACATCAAAACATCATGAAACCCTTACAACAACACAAGAACTGTGAGATAGACCGATGTCCCTCGAAATTAGCCTCCTGTGCAGGCTTCGTGGCGGGTGGGAATTTTGATACAGCGTTTTGAAGAGTTTGTAACGCTATTTTAATACTAAAAGTTTATTGCAAATTCATGCCCGAGGGCTAATTGCAAGAACATGATAACAAGAAATAAACAGTAAAAATTGTAATAAGTCATGCTAATGCTACTTTAGATATACATTTGTAGTTATTGTTGGGTTTGATTTTTCCGTGTGCAGTGGAGTATGAAATGGCCGACATTTTGCGAGATATATGAATTGGAAGGTGTTAGAAATGCAGTTTTTTGTAGGCTGGGAAGGTGAATAAAGCTAGGGAACATTTTGGTGACCATTTCAAATAACCTATCTCTTTCGGTGCTATAATGAGGGCAGTGACAAATAAAGTGCATTTCATCCTCCACTGCATTTCTTGTACAATATTTACATATTCTGTCGTTAACAGACAATTGTTTGTATCTACCCTTGTCTATTTCTAATGTATGTGCGCTAACTCTAAGCTTACATATGGCTGATCTAACATAGCCATCCATCCTACAATTCCCGTGGTTGGAATGGAGCCTTCTCTCGGCGGCTGGTTGTGGGATGGCCTGCTATCAAAATGACGCGTTAAAATCTCTTCAAAACGCTGTATCAAAATTCCCACCCGCCCCGGAGCCTGCACAGGAGGCTACCTCGAAATCAACTGAAGCCATGTGATAAAAGTAGCCCTCATACTATTCCCAGTTTGAATGAGAAACGCCTCGAAGTGCGACTAATCTACATGTCCGGAACCTAATGAAGTATGAGATTATGCTAAAATTACTGTCGGTGAACACACAGCCCAATCAAAGGCTCTCGGGGGAAAGTTTACGTGACGTACTAGTGACATGTTTCCTCAGAAAAGTTCCAGTATTAGTACAGGATGTTGTACTAGCTGGCAGTAAACCTAGCACAATATAGGCATCATTTCTCGTTAACAAGGTTTATGATGTCAAAATTTGAAAACGTATAAATCTTATTTTTTGGGCCCCGCCTTGTTTTTTTCCCCTCTCGCATTAGTTTCGGAGTTTGATGAGGATGTCATCCATAAGATTTAATTGCTGTGGCCTAAATCTAAATGGTAAAACATTCAATTGATTAGTACGGATGTTAGAAACCAAAGGACATGGTTGTTGACTTCGCCCGCATAATTCAAAGAGTAGCAGTAGAAATATAAATTTTCCAGACAGTAGTTGTCTGTTCCCTATTAAGTATTATTGTACCGTATAATATCTTTGACTCTGTAAAAGCTAATTAGCCTTTGGGCATGATTTTGTAATATAAAGACTTATGTCTTGTGGAATCAGTATGCCATTATTTACAGTATGGCTTTTGGGCACGGAAAAATTGTTGACTGAGCTTTTTGAACAACTCGTGCATTCATTCAGCCGGCTTTGAAAAAAAATACTATACAATGCTTCTTTCTTTGCACGTCTGCTAGTTACTGATATAGATCTTGTTGTGTTCGCAGGTCCGACAGAGAAAAGAGTTGGGTCGGCTTCGCAAGAGCATACAACTCTGCCTACAATCTCACTCGAGACAAAGGTATGTATAGGAATAATCAACAACATCTAACCACATCTCTCCTGCTCCAGGGGTCTCCAGCTTATAACTTTGATATAAATACAAAACTCACAGATGCACTCCACATGTTCATTGCCAAATCAAAAAGATTCTGTGCCTCTTCCAGCTGAGCCACACTAAACATTCAATTGCTGTTCAGTTATAAAATTGATTTTAATTGCAGATGTAAATTATTAGATAATGTTATTTGTGTATATATCTTGTTCTAACTATTTTTTTAAAAACTTTTATGTCCAGGTATGTGTTAGGTGTGCACGCTATCAGCATACTTGCTGCCTAGTGCACACTTTGTATTGTGTTGTTACAATTCTGAATAAACAAATATGAATAATTACAATTAGAGGTTAATTAATTACACATATCATATGTTCGTCGTTTGTAATTTGTATTGGTTTTTCTATAGTTATTTCTTTTGGCGTGTGTTATGCACCCCGAAAGTGCCGCTGTAGTACCTTAAAAAGCCGCTAGAATGCCCATTATTGAACTTGACCATCGTATTCCCGACCCCAACAACAAAAGACTGATATGACTAGAAGGGAACGGGGGGTTAAAACCGCAGGTGTGGTTTCCCCCCCCCCCCTAGAAATATAAGGCCTCTTGAGCTGTCTGCTTCTCTAAGTGCTAGTGGGTGTGTACTAGCCTACCGGCCGATCCTGGCCCTATCGCGGTGTACAGAAAGTGCGAAATGGACGAAATGGAACGAAATGTAATTTTAAACAGTTCCGTTCCTTGCTATCTATTTCATTTCATTGTGTTTACATGTAAGGGACGCGGCTGGTGATAAACTTCCTCCCCGTGGGCATACCACTAGGACAGACAGAGACCACAAAGAAACACGTCCGCACACTTTGACTGCTCAAATCAAAACTCAACTTATTGTTAACGTACCTTATAACGTTGTGGTCACTTTATTCTTAACGTACCCCGATCGATCTTATAATGTTGCGGTCACTTTATTCTAAACGTGCCCTGATCAATCTTATAACGTTGCGGTTCTAAGAATACCATCAATCTTAACGTTGCCGTTTGCACGTCGAGCGGAAACTATCGTCGCCGTTCCAACGTACGGACGGCTTAACTCCATACCTATTTTGTTTCATTTCGTTTCATTTCGTGCCATTTCGCACTTTCTGGGGTCCCCCTATCGTCACTGGCACGATACAATTCTTGGAACGGTACAGAAACTGTACATGTCGATACATCTTATTATAGGAGGTGTGATTAGCTGTGACGTATGACTGCAAAAGGGCCTCATTTGATGCAAAGTTCAACTTTTTACCACATCTGGATTGTAATATAATGTCACAGGTGGTGGGTGACTCAGTCATTCAGTTTGGGGCAGCAATTATGTTAATTAGCAATTGTGTAATTAACATAACTTCCTTGATTCAGCCCCTGGCTATTTGTTTCCAAAAATAGCCAGTAGCAAATTGTCATTACTCAATTATTTTACTGTGAATAAATTGTACTACCTCGAAACCTCGACAGTAAGACCGTAGAACAATAGTTGACATTGGCGTGTAGACGTAACGTAAACAATCAGAGGATGGCGCATGCATGACGTCAAATTCAACATGGCAGCGTCAAAGTGACGCCGGCCAAAACAAAACAGATTTCACCTACAGTAAAACCTGTAATAAGTCGTAAAATATTATTATATTGATGCACTAGTTGATACTTAGCTTATTGTTATTTGCCATATCGTAAAATCTTACTTTTTATTGTGTGTATCGTTAAGAACATTCGTAAAAACTTTGTTATGCTGCAATTTTTGGCGACGTCTCAGGGAGGAGCCTAATGGTACAGTATTGTGTGCAGTTCGCAAGAATTTTAGGAGTTGTACAGGCATTTTGTCCACAGGCATGGAATGTCCACAGGAATGTCTCCCAGCTCTCTTTGTTGACATGCCCACATTCCTGAAAACCCTTGGGAAAACCTGATGCCCTACTTTCTGTGACCCCGGGGCTCGTTCACTATACACTCAGGGGAGTGGAGGGTACCAAGACTTCCTCAAAATCATGAAATCATGTCAGTGCCATGCAAACAATAACCCTAACAGCAACCACCGTCGCCATGGCAATGTATGTTTTCATTACCAGTCTTGTTGAATGTATGAACAATTTCTCATGTGTGTTCACAACTTTCTAGCTTTGACTACTGACGTCTTACAAGCCGCCATCTTGGAAGCGGAGCTGGAACAGTACTATCGCGAGGCAGGCCGCCTGCAGTTAAGATATAAGTCGCTAGAGGTTGAAATCGACCAGTTGATGGGGATCGATAGTGTTAACAGCAGAGAGTTGCGGAGAGCTCCAGATACGCCAGATACTCTTCCTTCAGATGGTAAGAAGTTCATAATTTCTAAGAAAATAGAAAGTGTCACGCACATATTTACATTTCATACATACTATAGTATTGGTGAAATGTATTGTTTTTTCTCCTTCTCCTGCCATATCGTCAAATGGATTCAACTTCTTCATTTTGGGGCTAAGTGACGTGAAATTTGGTATGGGTGGTCAAATACCCTTTTTTTCTTCATCATTTTGGATATAGGCTTTTGAAATTGTTTTATTAGGGTTTTTACCATGTATGGCATGCATGACCATATTTAGCACAAGTGGCATGCATGCCCATATTTGGCACATATGACGTTCTTTCTCATCAGGTGGGAGTAGTGTTTATCCTTGCTGATTGGCTGCTGGGATAATGTGATCAAATTTAGGGTAATCAAACAGATACAGGGCTCTATGAAAAGGTAATCCCCAAGCAACTACAGGGTGGTATGGATTGCATGGAATTTGGAATGGGAAGAAGAATTGGTGAGATGTACTGCATTTGCTCTTGAGAAAATGTTGGCCTTTCTAGCTACTGTACCTTTCCTACCACTTCTTGGGGCTAGGTGGTTGTCTGGATTTGTGGCATTGTGTTATCCTCCACTGTGGTAGCGAGTTATTTTATGCGGTATTAAGTTGTGTTGACGGTGTATTTATGAACCCTTGCTTTGCAATATTTTGGATTAATTGGTTCAATATTTTTTCAATCCCCCTACCTTAATGATTCTTGAAAAGAGGTGTTTCAAAAGAGGTGTACTTACTTTATTCATCCCTCTTTACCCTTACCCGAAAAGCCGGCCCAGCAACCAAAGGTAAGGTTATATCCCCGTTGTTCTGCGGTGATGGTGGCTTTGGGGTTGTGCTTCTACCGTAACGACCAATGTGTGCCATGATTCCGACATGATAGTCAAGTTATTTGAGGGAAAATAGAACTACAGTTCATGTGTTTATCAAACCAGATGTGGTATTTTTCATAGACCAGATTTGGACTTCAGAGCCCACTGTAGCGCCCATAGTTTTTTTTTCTGTCAGTATTTCTTGTAGTATGCATTGAAAAAAATTGTGAAGCTCTACAGAGCTCTACAGCTAGTCCTAGAACGCTAGCATTATTTCCCGACAACGTCCAATTTTGTCTAACGTTTTCATGTTTGTAAGGCAATGAAACTATTACCGTTCACCTTGTTTATGTCTTCAGGTTCAGACATTATGTCGGAAGGCAGCCTATCCACGGTGGAGACGGCAGCGCTAGCGGCCGAGTCTAAAGAGAACGGGCGGCATCAGAACAACGGGCGAGGGGCCAAGCGTTTTCCGGTAGGGTGGAATATGTCCTCAACATATTTTCCCTTTCTCAGAGCATGTCGAACTCTGTGTTTTCCGGTTCTGTATAGCTAGAAATGCAACAAAATACGCTGAAACAAGTAGCATTTAGTAACAGTGAAAGGATCAGTAGCAATAGAAGATGTTCATTGTTAAGTTCAAGCATTTTCTAGTGCATGGATGGCGTTCAGCACCAAGGACAGACATGTTTGCCTGTGTGTGGATGGCGTTCAGCACCAAGGACAGCTGTGTTTGCCTGTGCGTGGATGGCGTTCAGTACCAAGGACAGATATGTTTGCCTGTGTGTGGATGGCGTTCAGCACCAAGGACAGACATGTTTGCCTGTGTGTGGATGGCGTTCAGTACCAAGGACAGCTGTGTTTGCCTGTGTGTGGATGGCGTTCAGTACCAAGGACAGATATGTTTGCCTGTGTGTGTATGGCGTTCAGTACCAAGGACAGATGTGTTTGCCTGTATGTGGATGGCGTTCAGTACCAAGGACAGATATGTTTGCCTGTGTGTGGATGATGTTCAGTACAAAGGACAAATATGTTTGCCTATGTATGGATGGCGTTCAGCATCAAGTACAGATATGTTTGTCTGTGTGTGGATGGCGTTCAGTACCAAGGACAGCTGTGTTTGCCTGTATGTAGTTCAGCACCAAGAAGAGACATATTGGTTTTGTGTGAATGTTAGTCATTCCTATGCTTGCTTATGTGTGGATGGCATTAAGAATACTACGTTTTAAATACGCTTACAGGACTATTGTTGGATCTATATTAGACCACTAGACCGCATGTAAATTTTGCTGTATCTTTCTCTTCACAGATTGGACCCGAAGCCTTCCATTGCCACGCGATTCGCCCGGAAAATCCCGAGGAGGAAAACAGAAAGGCTTTCAGAAAACTGGCCATCGCCACCTGTCTGTCACTCTTCTTTGTTGTCATGGAGCTAATAGGTACTTTGTTTGTTTGTTTGTTTATTGAGATCTCGATTAGTATGGAAAATTCCATACTATTCTTCCTGGAGTCCAGCAACATAAAATAAAATAACAATAATAATGATTACTTCTAGCAATAATGATAATAAATAAAACATACAAAATTATGCTGAAATTATACGTCATTGTTTGTTGATATACATAAGGCCACACTGATTTGATTTCATGAATGACATCCTCACGCGCATTGAATTTCGCCTGTTCTAAAAAACATGACCTCCTCTGAGGCTCTTGCATGGGTGCCATCCTCTGTAGTCCATGGTACCTAGAGACAATAGGGAGCCGGCGGTGACTACGTACGGAGGATGGCAGAACTCAGTACAGTGCCCACTCAAAAATGCCATAAAAGGCCTGCATGTGCCAAATTGTCGTAAACGTCGTTATGCACTACCACAAATTCACAACACCAGCTTTGTATTCCTGTGGTTTAGCAGCATTTTTTTCGGCTGGATTTTTTTTTATTCGACCGCGCGCACTACTTTGAGGGTCTTCGGAGGATGTCATCCATAAAATTAAGTAAGTGTGGCCTAATATGCTTTGATCATTATGAACCATCATTCTGTGAGAACAGAACTACATACTGAAAAGCACAAGTTTTGTCCAAAACCTGTCATTTTTTGTGCTGAACGTGTCCAGGCGGGTACCTTGCCGGGAGTCTTGTCGTACAGACCGACGCTGCGCATGTGCTGGCTGACGTAGCCTCGTTCCTGTTGAGCCTCGCTTCCATCCGGCTGTCCTCGCGAGCCCGGACGAGACGGATGACGTATGGCTGGCTACGCGTCCGTGAGTCCGCCATTTTGTTTGTCTAATAAACTTGTTTGTGTTTGTTTGTTTGTTTGTTGTTAACTTGCGTTTTCTTGTCAACATTTGAGGACCCGAAGTGAGACTGTTCTTGACAGAGACTAAGCCTTTGTTTTCTCTTGCAATTTACTAAGTAAAAACAAGTAAAATCTGAGATTTTATACCTCCGGCCTTTTTATTGTATATTTTTAAATAGGGTTTAAACAAAGAATTTATCGAGACCGGACACCCCTCTGTGTGAGGGGTCATATACGTGGACCAGACCGAGAATAGCTTAAACACGCTAAAGGTCAACGGTCGCGACCATTTTCACGCTCAAAGGGGTGTTCTGGGGCCACCAAAAGGCACCATTTTCACGCCCGAAAACACATATACAATAAAAACAAAAGAACGTGCATAATCTACAGCCCAATAGCAAAACATATACCGAGTCCCAAAAAAATCCGTCCACCCAAACGCGAGAAACAGCTGCGAACATGAAAATCTAAATCTCTCACAAAACCCTTCCGCGGAAGGATGTCTCCTTCCCCAGAGGCAATAAGCAAACTGTATGTATTTCTTTTAGCTGCCCTGCCCCCCCTGTGAATTAAAGAGATAAAGGGCTGTCCTGTATCTCATTTATCTTGTTTAAAATAAAGATGATTTTGAACATAGTATGTTGATTACGTTTTCCTATTCCGACGTCCCAACATACAGAGGTGGTGGGTTCTCTCACGTCCATCATAATCGTGTGGATCGTGACGGGTGTGCTGGTCTACTGCGCCACCATGCGGCTGGTGAAGGGAGCGTACCACATCCACGGGAACATCATGCTAGTCACAGCAGTCATGGGCGTCATCGTCAACACCATGTGAGTCCTACAAAACTTAGTTTTGAAAGGGCTCAAAAGTCGGTAGGGGTCCTAGCTACGTTCACGAGTGTTACACACTTTACAATAGACACAGATATTCACTGGTCTCTATTAGACTAACTACGCTGCCTACTAGTATATATGGCCATATATAGGAGACAATTTGCCAGGGGAGTTTGGCCACCTTGTAGGTTTGACTGGCCGCGCACTTCGGAGGGAATGAAACTACCCCCCGCGGCCGGACTCCCTTGGCCAATTTTACTCTCTTTTTGATCGACGAATTCTACGATCCGTATTCCCGTAGAAAGGCCTGGTGGAGGCTAGATATTCACTAGTAGTGTATTGTTGGTTAAACAATCCCGGGGCATATCCTGGATTTTTTGTAGACGTATATTACTTCAAAGTTCTTTTGAATGTTTTTGATATGTTTTGAATGCAGAAGCAAGAACAGCGTCTAGGATAATGTCTGCATCGAGGCAAATTGATTCGCTTTGATCCGGCTTCGAGCTGGCTTCAAGCCGGATCGACAATTTTACCCTAGTGGGAATAGGGCCTGAGCAGGAGAGTGTTAATGATGAATCCGTTCAATATTTCACCTGAATGACCATTTTCCAGCCTTGGTTACGTGCTGCACGAGCAGGCACACGCGGGGCACGGCCACGGGCACAGTCACGGTAACACCAGCCACGGGGACCGCGAGCTTCCCGACGGCTTCCACAACCCGGACGACCTCTGGGAGCGAGTCCGCGCCTTCTTCGGCTTCCCGTCCGATCCCTTCAAGGCGCCGAGCAAGAGCATCCTCGTCAGAGCCGCCTTCATCCACGTCCTGGGAGACTTCCTGCAGAGTCTCGGGGTGCTCCTGGCAGCCTGCATCATTTACGTCAGGGTACGTCTGCATGCCTGTCAATCACACACTAATTTGCACATCGAGCGGTCTGCACCATTTACGTCAGGGTACGTCTGCGCACATGTCAATCACACACTAATTTGCATATCGAGCGGTCTTCATCATTTACGTCAGGGTACGTCTGCAGACCTGTCAATCACACACTAATTTGCATATCTAGCGGCCTGCATCATTTACGTCAGGGTACGTCTGCAGAACTGTCAATCACACACTAATTTGCATATCTAGCGGCCTGCATCATTTACGTCAGGGTACGTCTGCAGAACTGTCAATCACACACTAATTTGCATATCTAGCGGCCTGCATCATTTACGTCAGGGTACGTCTGCACACCTGTCAATCACAGACTCATTTGCATGCGATTTGCATGTTCAAAACACAATGACAATGTCGACTACGTCGATCAAGGTCAAATATCCAGGTAATAAGATGCGCCAAAAACACACAAAAAACTAGAAAGGTAACATTTAGAAAGCAAATGCATATAATGTTTACCTTCACACATGGTCTGCTCTGTTAATTCTTACTCAAACGCATTCATCTATATGGTGACAGGAGTCTAAATCCCTCCTATTATAAAATTGCAACATGATGTAACCCAACACTAGTTGCAATGGTAACAGACGTCTGGTTCAGGTCATTAACCTTATTTGTTTGGAGAAGAAGAGGAAGAAGAAACAGAGCAAAGATGAAAGTGGAAGTAACTACGCCGCCGCAACGCAAAAACGTCAAGGGCCTATGTCCTGATTAAGACATGAAATTATTATAAAATGTTGTGTAAAAATGCCAGCAGAACAAGGGTTAATAATGCCTGCTGTATTAACAGATTGCTTGAGATTATCTGTACGTATTTTGTGTGTATTTCTGCAGCCTGCGTGGAAGGTGGTTGACCCCATCTGCACGTACGTGTTCTCCGTCCTGGTCCTCATCACCACCATCAGCGTCATGCGCGACCTACTCATCGCCATCATGCAGGGTAAGCTGTAGCCTCCTTCGCAGACTTGTAGCCTGGTTAAGCTTCGGTCCCAATTGCGCCGGTGCCCGTCAGGGATGTAGCCCCGGCCGGTCCCGGTCGGGCTCAGGAGTCGGGCGGGTATCGGCTGTCGTGGTCACAATTAAAAGTTTCCTTCAGTAGCATTTTGTTGAAAATTTTGTCACCCTCTATGGACGGTCTCCGGCAGGCACCCGGCAGATTCTCTGACAAGTATGTCTTGTACTGATCTATACTTAATGCAGAATTCACGCTTTTGTTGTGATCATTTGATCTGTGACGTCACACATTTTACCCGGGTTTACAAAGTACACACCTTTATTCTGTTCATCTGGTCTGTGACGTAACAAATGTGTCCCGATGGACTGCCGGCAACCGGAGGGGTATCTGTCGGTGTTCTCACGATGAGGTCACGGCGTCTTTTTGTCAGCGGGGCCCGGGTAGAATTTAAGTCAGAATTAAATTCTTCTCGGGCCTCCGCCGGGCCAAAAAAATAGCCCGGTAGCCGAATGGTGTCCAACGGGGCCACGTACGGGTCACGCCCGAAAGTGCCAAAAACAGCCCGGGGACTACCCGGCAGGGCCCCTTTTTTCAATTGGGACCGAAGCATTAACCAGACCGCCGTGAGCTCAGCGCTATCCCTTCGGCGCCGAGAGCGTTTGGGGCCGCCAACCAGTCCTCAATATTACCGCGCTTCGGGGTGGTTTTAGGTTTCTTCGCTCACGGTGGCAAAAGAAGACTAAACGTAATACAGGAAGTTAGCTGGAGATAGGTCCGTGGCATAACTCGCCTGTGCTTGGTAAAGGCTACCCTTGATGCCAAACTAGTATCGGGCCGTTAGCCGTTTTCCTTCGGCAGCCGACAGCCCTTCGCCCGCCTGCCTAAATTATCGCTACGGGGGAGAGAGGTTTTCACCGCCCAACGCTCTCTCCCCGGCAAACTCTCTCGGTGGCAAAACCGTCGCTCCGCGGCATAACTCGCGTTGCTCCCCGCAAAAATCAACGACGCCGCCCCACAAGTCTGCGATGGAGGCTAAGTAAGCTGCGGCCTACATGCATCTCAAATAAAGTTGTCAAAGTTCCGGTTTTGAGTCAATTAACTCAGAGTTCCAATTTCGATTCAAATTACTCAAAAGATATCCACTTGACTCAAATGACTCATAGTTACAAAAAAAGGAAATAAAAAGGATTTTCCTTATTATTTTGGGGTCTGTTCCGATAATGTTCCCACTCTGTCTCTTCATTCCTCCTTCCCCTTATTCACCAAACCCTGTGCAGTGAAAGCAAGGAAATTTCTTCTTCCTACTTGTCTATCTCATCCATCCATCCATCCATCCATCCATCCATCCATCCATCCATCCATCCATCCATCCATCCATCCCTCTCTTTCGATCCCTCCTTCCTGTAGGGTATGTGTGCAAAAGTATGTGATCTTTTTTAGTTGATATATATTTCATTTGTTTTTATTTTATAATTATGTTCATATCTGTTTAATGTATTCGTATTGTTTGACAAGCTATGAAAGAATATCACCATAAAGATGCTAGAGGATATCTCAATAAACTCAGTAAAGTCTACTTTTTCAAGGCACTTCCAGATCTATCGTTGATATCAAACTGGGACAAATTTGCGAGCCCCACCTAGAACCAATCGCTTGCGGCGTTATAAAGCTACATCACTTAAAACCCCTACAATTCTGTCTGAGATCTCTGAGATGAAAGATACAGAAGAAATGACTCCACTCTTATCAGCAGCGCTGCCTGGCATATCAGACAGGAACCGCAGGCGACCAATATGTCTTTCTTACTGACGGATTATCTAAATTAAATCAGACCGCCGCCCCTGGCACTCTGAATCGTGACGTAGGTAAAAGTCATGACACCGAAAGTCAAACTGTTCCGATAAGATTATTACCTTTACTTTTTCCATATTTTGTTGGTTTTTAATTAATCTCTGTCTGCTTCATGTTTCACTTCTGTACCTACATAGATTAGCTAAGAATTTACCCTTTTTTTAAAGCTGGAAATAAGAGTGCATTTTTAAAAATCCTTATCAACATCCGTAAATAATTTCATCAGGTTGGTAAACGACTGAATAGCAAAGTTCTTTCTATCACAACCATTTATTTTTCAAGCCAACGTTTCGATGGCCTTCTGTCATCTTCATCAGGGCAATACTGACTGGTTTACTGTGCACTGACACTAGATGTAGACAGACAAAACTAGCTTAAGTGCACTATAAACTATGTAACACCTTTAGTGCACTACGCACCAAGCAACATCTAGTGTCAGTGCACAGTAAACCAGTCAGAATTGCCCTGATGAAGATGACAGAAGGTCATCGAGACGTTGGCTTGAAAAATAAATGGTTGTGATAGAAAGAACTTTGCTATTCATCCTTATCAACAGTTGCATTTTTATTGCCACGTATACGCACAGTTTCAATTAAGTTTGCCGTTTTCCCCCCATCCCTCCAACATTTGTGTGTTCTGTGTTCCAGTCACAACCAGTTCTTTGGCAAACTGCTGTCAAAAACTCCACGTTTCAATTACGTCAAAATGTTTCGTAGCTATAGATCCTCTAGCGCACGAAAAATGAATACAAATCTGTTATTCTGTTGATCAATCAATCACTCATTGTACACCACGCGGCAGTGCAAATACAAGACACCGTGTCATGCTCATAGAAAGATAGGAAACTAAGATGAGGTGCAAAAAGTATCTGTAAAAGCTTCATTTCTCTTTCACTTCATTTGCGTATCAACAAATAGTTCGTATTTATTATATAAACCTGATGATTTTGAAATCTCTCCATTGTCACTGGCGAAAGGTAGTGGATGCTCCCTGAAACGTCTGACCGTTTTCCAAATCATATCCACTTGCTTGAGCAACTGTTTCTTGGAGGGTCTGTAAATGCCATCTACAGCAAAAGGTTTCAACGGACCGAGCTCACGGTGTTTGTCAGAGTGTATGATTCTCGGGAATCTTTCAACGGATAATGTTCATTCCTTGTGTATTGTGATTGCAACGGACTGAGTGTCAAGTTGTAAAATAGTTTTAATGGTTCACTAAAACAACATAGTTTTCAACAAGACCTCGGTGGCCTAGCGCCTGTGGTTTGGCGTTGTAGTTGGTAAGTTGACGATCTCCCCGGCTCTAGGAACTGACGCAACTGTACCATTGTCCAACAGGTTTCCCGCGTCAGCTTGACTTTGGTGAGGTGGCTGAGACTCTGGGCAGGGTGAACGGAGTGGTGCAGGTGCACGACCTGCACGTCTGGATCCTGTGTGATCATCACTTCGTCCTCACCTCACACATAGTCAAAGGTCAGTAGCAAGGTCAACGTCCGATAGGACGGTGGCAACGTATGACGATTGGTGTTTGGGTGGTTATAATTATTTTGTGGTGCTGAACAATGGAATTTCAGTACTGTTATAAACCTAGCTGGGGCAAAGTATGGATAGGAGACACCGGGCTATGTGAGACAAAATACTGTATTGCAATGCAACATGGAGCTGCAACTAGAGTAGAGAGCTAGAGAAGCAATACACCAATGAGCGAGGTCTGTCCTTGGTGCTGAACACAATCCACACAGGAAACATGGCGCTGATATCAAAACACAAACATGTTGAATGCCATCCATACAGGTACAGGAAAACACATCTGTCCTTGGTGCTGAACGCCATCCACACACAGGCAAACATATCTGTTCTTGGTGCTGAACGCCATCCACACACAGGCAAACACATCTGTCCTTGGTGCTGAATGCCATCCACACACAGGCAAACATACCTGTCCTTGGTACTGAACGCCATCTACACAGGCAAACATACCTGTCCTTGGTACTGAACGCCATCTACACAGGCAAACATATCTGTTCTTGGTACTGAATGCCATCCACACACAGGCAAACATATCTGTCCTTGATGCTGAACGCCATCCACACACAGGCAAACATATCTGTCCTTGGTGCTGAATGCCATCCATACACAGGCAAACATATCTGTCCTTGGTACTGAACGCCATCCACACACAGGCAAACACATCTGTTCATGGTGCTGAACGCCATCAACACACAGGCAAACACATCTGTTCTTGGTGCTGAACGCCATCCACAAACAGGCAAACGTATCATCTGTCCTTTGTGCTGAATGCCATCCACACACAGGTAAACATATCTGTCCTTGGTGCTGAATGCCATCAACACACAGGCAAACGTATCTGTCCTTGGTGCTGAATGCCATCCACACATAGGTAAACATATCTGTCCTTGGTGCTGAATGCCATCAACACACAGGCAAACATATCTGTTCTTGGTGCTGAACGCCATCCACACACAGGCAAACACATCTGTCCTTGGTGCTGAATGCCATCCACAAACAGGCAAACATACCTGTCATTGGTGCTGAATGCCATCCACACACAGGCAAACATATCTGTCCTTGGTACTGAACGCCATCCACACACAGGCAAACATATCTGTCCTTGGTACTGAACGCCATCTACACACACAGGCAAACATACCTGTCCTTGGTACTGAATGCCATCTACACACAGGCAAACATATCTGTCCTTGGTACTGAACGCCATCTACGCACAGGCAAACATATCTGTCCTTGGTACTGAACGCCATCCACACACAGGCAAACATATCGGTCCTTGGTACTGAATGCCATCTACACACAGGCAAACATATCTGTCCTTGGTACTGAACGCCATCTACGCACAGGCAAACATATCTGTCCTTGGTGCTGAATGCCATCCACAAACAGGTAAACATGTCTGTCCTTGGTACTGAACGCCATCTACACACAGGCAAACACATCTGTCCTTGGTACTGAACGCCATCCACACACAGGCAAACATATCGGTCCTTGGTACTGAACGCCATCTACACACAGGCAAACATACCTGTCATTGGTACTGAACGCCATCCACACACAGGCAAACATATCTGTCCTTGGTACTGAACGCCATCTACACACAGGCAAACACATCTGTCTGAACGCCATCCACACACAGGCAAACATTTCTGTCCTTGGTGCTGAACGCCATCCACACACAGGCAAACACATCTGTTCTCGGTGCTGAACATCATCCACACACAAGCAAACATATCTGTCCTTGGTACTGAACGCCATCCACAAACAGGCTAACATATATCTGTCCTAGGTGATGAACGCCATCCATACACAAGAAAACTCGTCTGTCCTTGGTACTGAACGCCATCCACACACAATAAATTGTCCCGAAACAATTTACTTCCCCAAATGCAAGTGTACCTTTTGCCATCACGATGCATTAGAGAAGTATCTTTTGTAAAGTATTGATAACAAATCCTAAACAAATCCTACTGTTGAAACAAAAACAAACAGTGAGGTCGTGTGGCGTAATGACAGAGCGTTTGGCTCGGAACCAAGAGGTCCCGAGTTCGAATCCTGCCATGCCACCGATCTTGTGCCCTTGGTAAAGGCAATTTCCATGAATTTCCTTGCTTTACTCAAGTGAAAATGATTCATGCGATTGTCTGCGTTGGACGCGGCATGAAATAAGTTGAAAAAACTTGTGTCGTCCCCATGTCTTGTAATAAATGTTGGATAAATGTGGGGTCGTGTGGCGTGGCGGCAGAGTGCGCGACTCGGAACTAAGAGTCCCGGGTTCGAGTCCTGACATGCCACCGATCTTGTGCCCTTGGGAAAGGCACTTTACACGGCTTTCCTAACTTAGCTCAGGTGTAAATGAGTATTGTCCTGTCATGTATTTTACCCTTGTGTTGGTAGCGACATTAATATAAGTTGAAAAAACTTGAGTGTGTCGTCACCACGTCTGGTGATTACATGTTGGAATAAAAAAAATGTTGGAATAAAAAAAAAACACGTGTCTCCCTGTTCCAGACCCGTCGGCAGACCCCCAGCAGGTCATGCGGGAGGCTACAGCACAGGTCAACCTGGAGTACGACATCCAACACGTGACTCTACAGGTGGAAGACTTTCACCCCATCATGAAAACATGCGAAAACTGCCGGCTTCCCCCAAGCTGAGTCTTCTACTCTCTAATATAGATACAAGCCTCCAGTTTAATTCTGGACGTCCAGTTTAATTCCGGACATTCCCATATCTCAGCAACCTTACATCTAGATGGGCTAATATCATAAACTATAGGTAAAAATAATGTAAGAAATATGTAGAATGATTCTGAACATGAGCCAGAATTCTGCAGAATTGGGTTAATCCCCAAGGAGTCCTAGATGGCCACTACATACACATATTTCTTACATAATTTTTACCTATAGTTTATGATATTAGCCCATCTAGATGTAAGGTTGCTGAGATATGGGAATTAGTCCGGAATTTAAATTGGAAGTCCAGAATTAAACTGGAGGCTGTTATATACATAACAAATATATTTAACGCTGTTGATGTCAATCTATTATATGATTCAGATATATCCAAGAATGTGTCCGTTACGGTCAATCTAAAAATGTAAAGATCTACGTATATATACTCGGTATCGCAAAAATGTATGTGAATAAGTAGTGTTGCATAAATATGCTAATGTGTACGTACATATATCTAAAATATAAAGGACCAAGAAGCCATACGATACGTTATAATCTAATGTATATATACATGAGTAAGGACTACATGTTGTAGGAGAAGGCAACTATAAGCAACCCCCCCCCCAAAAAAATACTATTAGCTCCCTTTTCTTGCCATGTTGTTGTTTAAAGACGTCAATTGTACGCTGTAACATGTATTCGCGGCACTACCAAGTATATACGCTCAAGATACCAACCAAATGACGCCACGATGTAACTGATATAACGCTAGATAGATCGTAATATAGGAAAAAGTTATGAAATATTTATGAGCTAACGCCATCTCGTTTCGTTGTGAGTCACAAAAGTTAATGACACAGATGCAATTAAAGCGCGAAACAGGTATGTTACAATTAAGAGAAAGACAAAATTGACGACTATTCTAAGTACATGAAATGCTGTATAGCATCTTGAAAAAAGGAATAAAGAAAAACGCAAAATGTTACATGCTTTTATAATTTACTAAGTCTATATTTATTTCTGCACATCTGCATACGTTTTCAAATTCAATACGACACGTCACTGATACATGATATGTGTATCTGCCAATATATATCCCGATAGAGATATTAGTCATGTAACAATATCCGCAAAGTTTGACACGAAACACTTAAATTCTTTACATTGAACTGTTCAAACACAAATGACCAGAATATTACATTCCCCGTTTGTCTTTCCAATAGCCCAGGTCTTAGTACATGACACCATGTTCCGAAGTTGCAGTGTTTTGTCTTCTTCTACTACTACTATCTATATCTTTTTGGTTGGAGACATACGGGTTCATAACAACAACTTTTTTCCAAGGTGGGGGCCCAAAATGGTTACAACGACATATTCATAAGGCCACAGCAAGTAAATTGTATGGATGACATCCTCCGCAGACTCCAAATCTAATGCGATAGGGCGGAAAAAACAAGGCAGGACCCAAAAAACAAGATTCCTACATTTTCAAACTTTGACATCATACATGCAAACCTTGTTAAACAAGAAATGATACCTATATTGTGCTAAGTTTACTGCCAACTATTTTAACATACACCATACACAGGCATCATCACATATAAAAGGAATGAAATACATCACGGCATCAAAGTAAAAGACAGAACAATAAATCCTGTCTTGTCTCCTATCTTCATATTTATCTGCCATCCACGTTCCTGCATGGCAACAGTTATCTTTACACATTTTCGGCATGTTGACCACTGTCAGAGGGCGACAAAATTTCTTGTTTTCTTTTCAAATTCAGGCGTTTTTCCCAAAATCAGACAAAAATCAATGCATGCGCTGATGTCACCCATAAAAATTACTTGCTGTGGCCTTATTACTAGAAAAATACAATATAAAGACGCTATTTAAAGCAAATACGCAGTTTTGATGTCCCAGAGCAGACCCAACAGGATGAAGAGACAACAGACCGTGAGGACGGCCCCTGGCGTGGCGACGGGTGAACCGGAGACAGCGCTAGCCGAGCCCTGGGTCCCGGCCACCGGGAAACAACCGTCTGCGCAATACGGAAACAAACAGGAGGTTATGTCGGAAAATAATTTCATAAGGTTAGTAGAATATATAGGATATACTATAGTCATGGTTAAGTCATGGTATAGTATAGTGTAGTATAGCATAGCATAGCATAGCATAGCATAGCATAGCATAGCATAGTATAGCATAGCATAGCATAGTATAGTACAGTAATTTCATCAGGTTGGTAGAGCATAGGATATGCCATGGCATGGCATGGCATGGCATGGCATGGCGATAGGATAGGATAGGATAGGATGGGGTAGATAGGATAGGATAGGAAAAGATAGGATAGGATGGGGTAGATAGGATAGGAAAAGATAGGATAGGATAGGATAGGATAGATAGGATAGGATAGGAAAAGATAGGATAGGAGGTAAGGATAGGATAGGATAGGTTAGGATAGGATAGGATAGGATAGGATAGGATAGGATAGGATAGGATAGGTTAGAATAGGATAGGATAGGATAGGAGGATAGGATAGGAAACGACAGGATAAGATAGGATAGGATAGGATAGGATAGGATAGGTTAGGATAGGATAGGATAGGATAGGATAGGATAGGATAGGATAGGATAGGTTAGGATAGGATAGGATAGGATAGGATAGGTTAGGTTAGGATAGGATAGGATAGGAAAAGATAGGATAGGATAGGAAAAGATAGGATAGGATATATTATGGCCATGGTCATTACCCTGAAAGGGTGAACTATTTATACTAGAATATTTTATTTGCTCTTCTTTCATTTCAGAATTTCTGAAGCCGTTTGCTTTGCTTCACGTCCCTATAATGTTTTCTATATATCCCGTTCCTTCATAACCTACTTCCAGCAACCTAAGTTTGTATGTACCTTAGTTTTATCCTTTTTTTTTCATTTTGTACAATTCAGCCTTGTACTTCACGGCTGCCAGTCATGCTGTTGTTAGTACAAATAAACAACAACAAAAAAATAAACAAAACAAAACAAAAAAACCTCCCCTAAGCCTCACCTGCGGAGAGGTTGTAGGTGTGGAAGGTGAGTTGTGCCACCATCCCGTACGGACTGAAATCTCCCGTCTTGTTCACTAGCGGCGTCACCTACGAGGTTGTAAGATTATTACCTTCGCTAAGAAGGTTATGTTTTCAGTAGCGTTTGTCCGTCTGTCCGTTCGTCTATTTGTCTGTCTGTGAACAGCATAACTCAAGAAGCTTTACATGTATTGTCATGAAACTTGGTAGGTGGGTAGGTCTTGATGAGACCTAGAAATTATTAGATTTTGGGGCCCCTGGCGGCTTTTGTTGGTACCGCAGCAGAACTTCCGGTTTTGATATCTCACGATCTAGAAATGCTAGGGTCACGAACTTTGGTTGGTAGATAGCTCTTGGGGTAGGGAAGAAATGACATGAGTTTAGGCCCCCTAGCAGCTTGTTCTGGTTATATATGTATGATTTTTGCGCCAAAACTGTAAATATAAAGAATTGAATTTTCTCGTCTTGATTGTCATTTTCAATAACTTAAATAACAACATATTAGCGTCGCTATTTCGCTTTTCCGGTGACTCAGCGCAGCGCGAGAATAAGTTGCGCCAGGCCCGCTGTATTTTTAGGAGCCTCCTAAAAAGAATGTAAACAAACATCGGTCTTCCGCAGCTTCAAAACGTTTTTGTGGCACAACGACGTTGATCTTTTACTCCCAAAATGTCATTATGAAGCCAGGTAGGCTTGTAGTGCAAGAAAATGTGAAAAACAACAATGTTTAAAACAGTGAAAATCTTGTTGGCATTGTAAACTAGATTTCTACCCTTGAATTTTTGCGCCTGAAAAATTCTGTGCAAATTTGAGCCATGTACACAGCTTTCAGCAAACAAAAAACGCTTAGCCACAAGATCTCGAACAATATATAGCACACTCTGTTGTGGATTTTTTCCATACACTTGTGAAAGAAAAGTGTTCTGATAACATACTGTCAACTGATACCACATAACTTACCTTCAAAGTGTAGGTCTTGTTCAGGCTCACTTGGTCAATGACGTACAGGATGGGAACGAGTGGGTTTCTGTTTGCATCCTGGGAACGAGAATGTTTACAAAAGTGTTTGTTTTGAATCATGATCACACGTCGGGGGGGGGGGGGCACACATAGATTGCAGAAATTCTGCTTTTGGTGCTTTCAAGGATGAAAATACATTCAAACAGCAAACTACGAAAGACCATAGGTACATATATTATTTTTTTCTTGTGTGTGTGTACTTCGAGTTTCTATGAGTACTTAGAGTTTCTATGGGAATACTTTAAATATACTTTAAAAACTCCATACAAACTCTAAGTGCTCGCAGAAACTTTAAGTGCTCATAGAAACTTTAAGTGCTCATAGAAACTCGAAGTACCCATAGAAACTCGAAGTATACCCATAGAAACTCTAAGTACTCATAGAAACTTGAAGTTACCCATTGTAACTCGAAGTACACACACAAGAAAAAAAAGTGTACCTATGGTCTTTCGTAGCAAACTGACGCAAATGCAGCACTACAGGAGAAAACAGTTATATGAACATTCAGTGCACCGAAACTTTCGTCTTGCCCCCCACCCAACCCGCGGTTATCAATGTATCCATCTAAGTTTGATCATTAAAAACCTTTGTTTTTGCTTGTTTTTGTAATGGAATATTACCGACGTTAAGGTCTAAGACGATAATATGATAGTGTCAGGTAGTTCTACCGACAAGATTGTTCACAATCACAACATCATAATGTTTACCTCATTCACCGACTTGGCAAATACGCCTTCCTGCACATTCTTCCCGTCATGCTCCAGGCGGATGACGTACGTGATGACGTCACCGCCCAGCTGAACGGGGCGGAGCCAGGAGATCCACGCGGTCGCCATGGCAACCGTCTTGTTCCTCTTGCCCTGTCCGTGTCCCTTGTCTGACATGTCGTCATTCTCCACCACCTCAACACACGTCACGCTGACATTCAGGAGGGACATGTTGGCCGGTTGGCTGGCGAACACTACAGCTGATTATATGATATGATATGAATCTTTATTGCATGTTCTTGCCCAGATGGGCTAAATGCACAAGAGGATGTCCAGTATGTAAAACATGAGTATTTCATACTGGTACGCTATATTCTAATGCAAAGTGCTAGGAATCTATACATTACAATAATACTATAAACTACCTATCATCTACTTTTAGTTGCCCTTTCTTCTCTCTTTTTGAAACATTTGGAAACATAATTACATAGTTTGTCTACTGTACATTCGTTCTTGTATGACATCAAGTGTTTAAACATGTCCTGCTTTGACATTTTCTTACATATCTTGTCTAATTGTAAAGTAGCTCTTAGCGTTCATCTTTATATAATGTACAGTCAAGTAGAAAGTGTATCTCGTTTTCAACATATAAATGATTACAGAATTCGATATATAGAGGGTGGATAACCTTCTCCCTGCTGCCTAACCCCATAAGTGATACACATTTGGTGGCAGAGAAATACCTTAGCAGGCTAAAGGTTAAGGTTAAGCTGTCGGCACACCAGGTCGGTAACAAGCACACCAGGTCACCCCTACTCTCGCCTATAAGCATGCAGTTTTTACGCTATAGGGGTATGGGTCAGAGTTTTTTTCAACGCAGTTTTTCTATGTCATGGATACGGAGAAGTATATTAAAGAGAAAACTTTACCTTGATCACGGCAGTAGTTCAAGTCGTGGGTAGTGGTGTAGCAGTCTGTAACGAACAAACCAAACAGTGATAAGATATTCTTTTTCTATATGATATCTTCGATTTCTATATCGTCTTTTTGATATCCTAAGAATAATATTTCTAACATTCAATACATGAATAAGGCTACTCATTTTCTCCACTAGATTTTACTAAGCTAGGGATTGAGAATTCGCACATATAATTAGGCGCAAAAGCGTGCGCCAAGTTAGGCCCCATTCCACTGGGAGGGCGCTCTCACCGCACTCTCTCTCTGCGAACTGAAATTTGCCGGAGCGCGGAGAGAGCGCCAAGAGATCGGCAAGGTCGCCGTGGGAGCCCGCTGAGAGCGCCATGAGCGCCGTCACCTTGGTGACTGTTTTGAACCGGCTCATACCTTCGCCGTGAGAGCGCAGACCGAGTGCCGTGAAAGCGCAGGGCGAGTGCCATGAGAGCGCACAGCGAGCGCCGTGAGAGCGCACGACGGTCTAAACAGTAATTTATATTCCAAACATGGCGACCTTGGCGATCTCTCGGCGCTCTCTACGCGCTCTGGTCAATGTCAGGTCACAGAGAGAGCGCAGTGAGAGCGCCGTCAAGTAGAATGGGGGTAGTACCGTACCGACCTGGAGTAACGAACGGGTGCACCACACCTCTCCCCGCACTGTCCGTGTTGTTCAACACCACGACCTAGGGTACGATCAAAAGAGGACATTGTACATATCATTTTTTTCCATACACAACTCATTTCCACTACAACAGTCACGTACTAGTAGGTTCGTATGTATGTAGATGGCGTTCAGCACCAAGGACAGGTATGTTTGCATGCATGTGTGTCTGTGTGTGTGTGTGTGTGGATGGCGTTAAGCACCAAGGACAGGTGTGTTTGCATGTGTGTCTGTGTGGATGGCGTTCAGCACCAAGGACAGGTATGTTTGCATGTGTGTCTGTGTGGATGGCGTTCGGCACCAAGGACAGGTATGTTTGCATGTGTGTGTGTGTGTTTGGATGGCGTTCAGCACCAAGGACAGGTATGTTTGCATGCGTGTGTGTGTGTGTGGATGGCGTTCAGCACCAAGGACGGATATGAAAAAAGATTTCTTACTCATGATTACCTCAATCTCGTAGTTATGCGTGAACTCCAAGTCCATAACCGTGAAAGATTCCGTCTCCTGTAGTGAAATATTTCAGACATTTCATACACGATATGCATATCTTTCTTTCTTGTTCCCTTCATTAACATTGTTTTGATATGAGATCGACTTTACTGTAAGGTCCGGTTACGAATTTTTGTGGTATAAAATGATAGCGTAATGTATTTCCAGGGTCATTGTCCCTGATGATCGATAGTGGAATTTACTCTCTTGGTCAGAGGATATTACAACATACCATTTGTCATAAAAACAACACAGTTGCAAATCCACCCTCATCCAACTAAAAGCCCTCTTCCATAATAAGGCCACACCGACTTAATTTTATGGATGACATCCTCTGAAGACCCTCAAACTAGTGTGCGCGGGCGAATAAAAAAAATTCCGGCCAAAAATTAAATTGCTAGTAAAACACAGAATTGTGAATTTGCGTCAGGACATAGCGACGCTGGCTTTTTGCGGAATTTATGAATCAGCACTGTACGTATGTACTGTACTGAGTTCTAGATTGAGTCGTGGCTTCGGTAGCCTGGGTGCCCGGCTCCGTATTGTCGCTAACTACCATCGGCTACCCAGGCCTAGAGACAGGCCAGAGCCTCGCTGGACAATACGAAAATCAATGCGCGCGCGAATGTCATCCATAAAATTAAGAAAAATGTAATGTTCTTGTATTTGACAATGTACGTTTGTATTATTTATAAGACTGATTCAGTGACAAGATTCAGTCACTAATAATAAGTTTGCTGTATTCTGATGAAGTTGAAAAATAACATCAATGGTAAACCATTGTTCATTGGTTCGGCATTTCTTTTTGTTGTTGTTGTTGTTGTTTTTCACAAACGAAACACAAAGTGAAACCATCTAAGTGAAAGTAAAGTAAAACTAAACAAAGAAAGTAACAGCAACTTGACTAAAATGATAATAGATTAATTATGTACATAGAAATACCCATTTCCCTCTGTCTTTTTCCATCTTCCCTTTCCTTGTTGAGATGAGCAAATTTATAATTTACTTTGTCAAAGAAAAGCATATGTTCGAATGAAAGCTCATCTGTGTTGGTAGAATCCATAGTTGCAAAGTTCAAGCTTTGTTCCAACACAAAAAGGGAACTCACCATACATTTTCTCGTCAAAACTAGTTGTTCAATGAAAGTTTCCAAACTTAGTCTTTTAAACTCTCGATATATGTGAATGTAAATTTTGGCCAATAAAATTGATTCGGTATTTTTAAAATTTATTTATTTCAACTTTATTAACATATAATACATGTAAAAAGGTCGTAAGAAACAGGAATGCTCTTTAAGCTCCCTGACCAAAATTAAGTGACAGTCTTTTTCAATAAATAACGTATATATATCAACAACGATGATAATTGTAACAAAAATACAAACACCAATAATTGTAATAAATAGTAACAATGAGGTAATAAAGTAATGCAAAATGATAAAGTAGACCTTAGACCTTAGATCCTCCCGCAACCTTGTTGCATAGGTCGACTCCTATGATAAAGTAATGTATGAAAAAAAATGTGACACAACGACTTAATATTTTTTAGATTTCTTACGACGAAGACGAATCCGCGGTCTTCAAGGCGTTCTCTGGCCGTCTTGACAGCTGCAGGGCCGGGGAACACCGGTGAGAAGTCGAAGTCAGGGAAGTCACCTTCCCAGTCGTCTAGGAAGTCATCATCCGGCATGCCTTGCGATCCGGAAGTGACGCCAGCATACGGGTCCCTCAACAGCACCATGTAACCTTCAGGGTCGGACCCTGGAACAGCGGAGGGCATCAGCCAGAGTATACAGTGCAATTTTACGGAATGGTGCAATTTTACGGAATACAGTGCAATTTTACGGAATACAGTGCAATCATATTAGTAAACAGTGCAATTTACGGAATACGTGCAATTTTACGGAATACAGTGCAATCGTATTAGCATACAGTGCAATTTTACGGAATACATGCAATTTTACGGAATACAGTGCCATCGTATTAGTATACAGTGCAAGTTTACGGAATACGTGCAATTTTACGGAATACAGTGCAATCGTATTAGTACACAGTGCAATTTTACGGAATACAGTACAATCGTATTAGTACACAGTGCAATTTTACGGAATACAGTACAATCGTATTAGTATACAGTGCAATTTTACGGAATACAGTGCAATCGTATTAGTATACAGTGCAATTTTACGGAATATAGTACAAACGTATTAAGTACGCAATGTTACTAGTATACAGTACAATTTTAGTACTAACATTATGTAACCCAACACCAGTTACCATGGTGAGAGACGTCTGGTACAGGTCATTGACCTTATTTGTTTGGAGAAGAAGAGGACGAAACCGAGGAAAAACAATATGTTTTCCTTCGGTAAATATAAAAATGTGGAATACATAATTAAATTAGTGTTTAACTGCTGGAAGAAAAAGTAGATCGTCACCATCGGGCTGTTCCCAGGAGACCGTGACGCCAACAGTCCAGTTCCCGTTCTGGCGATGCACGAGACCTCTGACGTCAAATGTCCCCATTCCGACCACGGGAACATCTAGATAAAAGATGGTAGAAGTAATAAAGAGTTCCACGACCTCATACCTTCGCCAAATGATGTTAATCCTTCCGGTTGACGAATTATACAATTTTAATCATTGACTTCGCAAATAAGAGTCTCATTTGCATGGATTATATAAGTTGATCATATTCTCCACCCAGTGACAGCCTTATCTTAACAAAAAAGGCTATTTTAGCACTTCCTCATAAATTATGCAAATGAGGTCATGATTTGAATAAATCATGTTTATCGATGTTCGCCTTCACGATCACATAACGTCCAAATGCGGCAAGTATTTTCAGGGGCGGCAAAATGTACTCCCTCGGCATGTTATCTCTCTATTTGGTCAAGTTCTACTCTTTCCAGCCGTCTCCCGAAGCCTGGTAGAGGCTAGGTAGCAGGTATAGGAGCCCCAGTGTAAAAAAATAAGATTGTACCCAGGCGACTGAGTGTCCTAATCATAGTGCAAATGTGGGTAGGGCTGGTAGCCTCTACCAGGCTTCGGGAGGCGGCTGGAAAGAGTAGAGATCGGTCAAAAAGAGAAATAGCATGCCGGGGGAGTTGGACCGCTAGAGAGTACATTTTGCCGCACCCGAACTATTCTCTCCAGCAGACTAACTCCCCTGGCATGCTATCTCTCTATTTGGCCGATTTCTACTCTTTCCGACCGCTTTCCGAGGCCTGGTAGCGGCTAGAGGGCTGGTAGGATAGACTTGTAAAGCGACTTCCCTTAACTATTAAAGTGCTGACCTGACATCAGCAAGGCAAGATTTCCGGTACTCTGTACTGTAGATAGCCAGAGGAACAGGAAGAACGCATGAGGAAGAAAACGAACTATATTATATATTTCTCATCCACTGCCAAACTCTCCCATTAAACCCGGTCAGATTCAACATATGTTCGCCAAGATACAGTTCTAAAGACTGGCTATCTACACTTTTACTTTGCTTTTCTGCCAACTAAATTTGCTATCAGATTCAAAATTTAGATTTGTTAATTTGACACTCTTTTGTGTATTAGATCTCTCCATACACGTCAAATCTACTGCTTTTTTTATTCTTTCTTGGCCCCATCTTTTAATTTTTCTTCTAGACTCAATTCAATATCGTGCTGCCTTATTCCTTTGTTGAAAAACATTTCCATCAGGTACTAGATTTGCGGTCCGTACGTCTGTTGTTTGTCTAGTTTGGGAGGCAGGAATTGTTGTTGCCACCTGGGACTGTCAGGTATGTTTCCACGTTAAGTCAACACAAGCCCGGGCCACACCAGTGGTAACATCGGTATTGGTTCATTACGATTCTCGCTTATCTCCTGCACGTGTGTTGCACGACAGGTTTACGACAACGAATTCAGGACGTTCTAGGGACAGTCATCGCCTGTGTCCTACAAAACTCAGCCGCCTTGTTGTTGTTGTAAGTCGTGAAGGAAATGGTTGTCGTACAATCTTGTCACGACAATTCTGTGATGACATCGTTGAAAATCTCACGACACACGAAAAGATTGTACAACGTATATGCAACAGCGCCGCTAGCCTAGTCAACATGCCGTGTTTAGGTCGGAAGTCTACCGCCCACCGACAGGTGGTGACCTGCTGGGCATACGGAAGCTCCATACGGCTTCTATTTGATGTAACGAGGCACTTGGAGGTTTACCTTTCAATTAATAATAAGACGCATTTTTGCCGAGGTAGAGAACCACTTAGCTTGGATATTACAACGGTTAGGTTACCAACCGTAAACCTTACCAAACCAAGATGGCATCATGCTAAGGCCAGTTATATTAAGTCTTTCTTGAGAGAAATATGAGTTGAACATTTTTCATTTTCACTTCGGAACGTGCAGTAGGTGAGAGGCTGCCAAGTTTTGACACCAACAGAGTAGATTAGCGTTTACAAGCTGCTATTTTTTAGCGTTATAAGTGGACAGCGATCAAGTACTGTGATATAAAGGAAACCCCGACAAAATCGCAGTGCTAAAGGCCCGTTACCGGATGTACATCCTCCCTCAACAGTCTCACAGCCGGTGCCTCAACTCTTAGTCAAAACAACACCAACGAACCAAGGCCGTCTGTCTTATTTTCGCTCACTAAACCCAAACTTCTTCACGTTGAACCTGACAAAATGAAGTACAGAGCTCACATGGCAAGATTTAGAAAAGTATCAAGTCATATGTTGGCCAAATGTTGCGCTGAAACTCACAGGAGTCTAGCGGTACATTCGGCAGTAAGGTCAAGCGTGAAGACCTTTCTGTCGTCTGCGTTTATCCTTGTTACTTACGTAGATCCAAGGCCCCCGAGGTCACAAGAAGCGCCATCAGAGCAGCCGCCATGGTCATCCAGTCGGTAGACATGATGAAACGTATGTCCTTCCCGAAAGTACAGAATTGTGAACTGCCGGTGAACTACTCCGAGCACACAAAGGAAGCTGTCTCACTTTCTTCGGCTTTGTTGTTGGCAAGAATCCAAGAAGAGAACGCTAGCTTATCTCCCACCAGTTTGGCTGCGTTACACTTCCACTGACTCACTGAAGGTGTCGTCTAACATCTAACATGGCACAGGGCGGCACAGATGCACATTTATGGTTGCCATCAACACATGTCGATATATGAAAAGGGAATGGAGGGGGATTTGAACATGTGTAGACGCTGGAAATGCTATCAACTCTGATACAAACCACTGAAAACGGCTGATCGTCTTTTTTTATGCTAACACCTGAGTCAGTGAGATGTATGGTATGGATCTGTATTGCGTATTTTGAGAAACCTTTGGTCAACATACTAGTAATATCTTTGCATGATAGAACAAACATAAGTTCCTATTTAACTCAATACAGTACCTCGAGAGAGGACCCAGGTGTTTAATGATGTTTTATGTACTATGGTTCTGTAGTAAACGTACTAAGCAATGTAGAGCTTAGTGAAGGTCTTCTTGGGCTTCTTGAATTAGTTGAAATTGGGCCTTTTCTGAAATCCAATGCCATGACCCACAGAAACAAACGGCATCGTAGCGCCATCTATTGATTGTAGTTGGTAAGGCAGGTACTAACACCGATTTATTTACTTTGAGCGGGAGAGCGAGATAGGCACAGAGTTAGGAAAGAGGGAAGGAAGGAAATTCAGACAGGTGCACTGCACTGACACCCACAAACCAACAGGGCATCGCTCGTCTTGGATCTTCTTGGTCCTTGGCCTCAACAATAAAGCAGTAAAAGCATTGATTGCCAAGAAAAACACGTCAGTACTACTAGTACTTCCAATCTCTAAACCTGAACAAACATATTAGGAGGTTTGCACGTCCACCGTTCAGAAACGGCCTCTTGTGGTTAATTCGCAAACTACAGGTAATTGTGAGCGCGAGACCATTGGTTTTATGTAGGACCAGCCTGTTTAGACCAACTCACTGTACCGATGCGACCTATAGTGCGATATATCTAGTCCTCGGGTGTATGGTTATGTCTAGTCGGTTCTTTTGGAAAGCGACCAGTGGGTGTCACTGGAAGACAGAGGGAAAATGTCCAGACTATGCATGATGTACAAAATGACTAATAAACTGGTAGAGGTACCGACTAATGCCAGCTCAGAAAAGAACAAAAAATAGTCATGCCTTCAAGTACCAGAGTTATATCAACCAAGGGTTGAGGTGTTCAAAAACTCATTCATTCCTGGAACTATTGCAAGAGTGGAACTAGCTGTCACCAAGTACAGTATGGGCAACGTTTAGCGTTAGATGTTCATGGGTTTAGGTGTAACAAGTCGTTCGATGTACTAGTGTAGCCAGCTGCCGCCGCGCCGCGTGCCTGCGAAGCTGGTTTGTTACACCGAAGGACGGTTATACCTAGTCTCTACCAGACTAACTACGCTGGCTATATATAGGAGAATATTTGCCAGGGGAGTTTGGCCGCCTTGTAGGTTTGACTAGCTGGCCGCCTTCGCCTTTTTGCCGAATTTTGCGATCCGTATTCCGGTAGAAAGGCCTGGCGGGGGCTAGGTTATACCAGCTATTCAGATACAGATACAGACCCCGCACAGTTTCACCGGACAGTAAAATTAATATACCTTCAAGTCCAAAAAAACCCTAAAAGTCAAGAACCGAGTCCGGACTCATTACCATAAAAGACCATTTCACATACCACTTTTCTTTCCAAACCATGCACCTAAAACGTTTTGTAGTTTGCAAAATCTGTGCTGCAAAATGAAGAAAACATTGCCATCGGGCATCGTCAAGTGTCGGCCTCCATGTTATGTGGCCAAAGTTTCACCCAGACAACATCGCAAGGTTGCCAACATGCAATTTTGTATATGCCATGGGTTTAGGAGGGTCTGCATGGGGGGGTCCTGGCAACGGTTAACGGAAAATTCAGCAGGGCCGATAACGCTTAACGGTAAATTCAGGAGGGTCGGCAACGCTTAACGGTAAATTGACAGGCCTTTTTTCGAGCTGCACTGGATTTAGTATCTTGCTTTGTGAGAAAGGTGATCACTGACAAAATTACGTATACCTTTAAATACATGTAATGAAGCATGCATTTAAGGTATGTGTTCCCTGTGTTTCCCACCTGCCCTGGTCCCCGAGTGCGTCCACAAATAAAGGTGAGTCCGAGTCGACGTCGGCCAGCTTGCATGTTTTCAGTTTAGGATTTTGAGAGGGCGCTCGTAATCTAGGGGGTCCGGGGGGATGCTCCCCCGGGAAATTTAGGATTTTTAAGCCTTCAAAAACGCAATTTACCGCATTTTGAGAGGCAAATCATGGTGTTGAGAGTGTTTGCGGTCCTTCTGATGTTTACATGTTTTTACTCAAGATTTTGTTAATTTGCCTGTCAAGGTTAACGTTGATGGATTCGTTAAAAAAATCTGTAACTCTCCGCAAACTTCCGGAAATTGACGGGAAAGCTGGTTCTGGCCCGGAGCCGAAGGCACCGAGCGCAGAAGCGCGAGTCGAGCGCCAAAGGCGCGAGCAATGTAGGGGGTCCGGGGCATTCTCCCCCGGGAAATTTTGTATTT